CTTTTTCTGGTAGGTATTGAAGTAGCCTAAAAGTTCTAGACATGGAGTGAAGTTATTCACTTACTGTCGATACATAGGGGTGCTTTATATCCAGGAGAACAACCTCCGCTACATGATCCGTCAATGTGGTTACAATTAGCACCATTATGACAATGTCCACAGGTTTGATTACATCCTAAGCCAAAACTTCCGCCGTCACATTCTTTGAAAAAATTATTTTCTTTGTGTCATTTCATATTTTTTATAAGTATGCATGATTTTCTTTACGATTTTGTTTAAATTGCCACAGTTCTGACTGTATAGTTAGTAAATAATGTATTTGAAATATATAGTACTGGAAAAAATCATCAAAGTTTACAATTCAACACAATTAAATAAACATGAAAATGTAGTCTTTAACAAAATAATTTCTTCTGCTTTTTACGTTTTTGACATAAAGATCCTTCGTATCCCGCAGAGCAACCACCAGAACAGGACCCACTGATGTGATGACATTGTGTGTTATGTAGACAGTGACCACAATTCTGACTGCAGCCAGGTCCGTACATCCTACCGTCACATTCTTTTCAAGTAAATATAAAGTGCTTATTAGTTTTTCCCCTTTCCATATCAAAATCAATACATTTACAATATCCTAACAATCTTTGAAATTATTTCTTTGTTTACTTTATTATTTCTTTATTGTCTGATGTCACGGCTTCAGGCAGTATAAGGACTGATATTTCCAAACTGTGCGATCATATCTAGAGAGCTAGACTATGTGCAAGCTGATTTACATTGAACTTCTTTACTTCCTTTTTAAAAGAAACAGTTTTCAGAAAAAAAGAATGATATTACTGATGCAAAATACTGCAGTGTTTACTTCCTTTACTCATTTTGCATGGAACAGATTATTTCGCCGTTTCAACATGTCCGTGTATCCCTTTCTCTGCATTTCTATACTCAGTCTATTTATTTCTAAGAAAGGGATGAATCGCTCTTTTCGCGCCAAATGTCACTAGTTAGCTATCTTGGATTGTTCTATTGTATGACTTGGTGTGCTTACTTCCATGGAATTAAATAAAGTTTGTCCTAAAGGTTTTTAACTTCCTTCTAATGCTTCAGAAATTCTTTCTACAAGTTTTGTATCATAAAGATTCTTTAAAACAACATATCATATACATCAGTATATGGACTTGCAACACTAAAGACTTAATTGTTCTTATTTGTTTCCCGATCCCGCGGTGGGTTTGTTCCATAAATAGACTATTCCAATAATAATTAACAACGCAGTTCAAGTCATCGTCTCCAGATGCATAATCTTTTATATGTTTCTGTTCACATGCACATAATGAATAAGAAAGCAGTGAAGAATCTTGGATTTTTCTTTCCACAAAGGCCTAAATATTGAATTACCTATCTCATTCCCAATATAAAAATTATGATAGTGTCACTCCCCTCCCCCTCCCCTTTGAAAAAAAAATGAACACACATTACAAAATGTGTATTTAACTATATCCATATTTTAAAATGTTTTCAACACATGATTTGATAACATATTTTATATAAAAGGTGTTACAATGTAGCTTGAAATCGATTTTACCAATGTCAGATCATTCCATTTTCAGACCCCCCCCCTCCATGAATAACAACTCTTTAGTATGCATTGTAGAGATGATTCTTGTACAAGTAAATAAAATAAAGATTTCAATTACACAAGGTTCTCAAAATAAAAAGTTTTAGATATATTTTAAACCCACAAAAGTATTGCTCAAAGGTTTATCACTCTTCATGCAGATAAATTTATTGGTTTAGTCAGCCAAGCTTTTTAAAAAGCTTTTACATGTACTTGTACGTTACAATAAATACAGCAATGACCTTTTCAAAACCGCAGTGGAAGCTCATGGCCATTGGATTACTTTCTGAATGAGACGAAATCCCAATAATTCTGATATGAGGACCAAAAAACGATACCAACTTCAACACATATGAAATATTAAACTCACTGAACCAACACTTCAAAATTATTGCTTATGTTACATTTTTATTTTCCATATAAATAAAAAGTTTAATTTGGTTTTTTATTGAAAAATATACTTTTTTATTTTGATAAAACTTGATTCACGATAAACTTTATATTCAAAATGCATAAAATAAAAACAAGAGATCTAAAGTGTTAGTAAGAAAAGAACTGAAAACATTTCAAAGAATTACCAAGGAATACAATTCTTCAAAATAATATCAGTCTCCAATTACTTGTAGCTTTTACACATAATAAGTTCTGAACATTTCGTTTTGATGAGTATCATTTTTTTTCTTCTTACCCTGACTACATCGATGTCCTTTATAACCCGGATTACACTCAATACAGTATCCTGTAAAGATATTACACCTTTGGCCAAGGCATACATCTGGACATAATTGGTCACAATACTGGCCGTAGTACTTTGATTCGGGGCATCCTGTGAAGTAAACCAAAAATACTAAATTGTCTTAAAATATTTACGGGAAAAATCAACACAGTGTGAGTATATCGTGTAAAACGTATGGTGATATTTCAAACTTACCATACACCTCCAATTCACACAATTCATTATATGCATGTGAAGAGTAGTAGCTTGGATACGTCACCCCCGGCTTGCGTTCGTTGTAGTATATAACATACCGCCCGTCATAAGGACAGCTGATTGTCTGGTTCTCTGTTGGTGTACCGCTTTTTTGTTGCAATTCATGATAACAGAGACGACCACTGTATTTATTGGTATTGTTTGAAATGTAGACATAAAATCCAGCAAATCGGTTGTAGTATATTCCAGGACCTAGGAAAATAAATGTGTTGATGTTTAAGCTTTCAAATTTCTTATTTTATATATGAAAAATCCGCGTGATAATTGATTTTTCTGTAACACAAAACAAACAATATAAAACAATTGAAATATTTCCATGCATAAGTGAAGAGGAGGTGATAAGGGAATGCTTTGAAATTATGATCAGTGCACTTTTTAAATTTGATTATCGAAAATTGTATATCAATATTGAAATATCAAACAGTGTTTAAGCTCAGACAACCATTGTTTAAATTGACAACATAGTTACCGCGATTTGTGAATGAAATTGTATTCCATATTCGATTGGTCTTATTGTTATACCCGCGGGCCTCTATATATTTACTTGTAATTGGCAATGGTGTTGACGGATTAATGCCATATAACACTTGGTAGCGAGAAAAATGACGGTTTATTTTCTTGAGCAGGTGAGCAAGATGCCAAAGAAACTTACAACTGTTGCAGGGATCAGTGCAGTATACAAACAAATACAATTAAGCAATGAATCGTTACTTTTTGAAAGGTATACTCTCAAAACTGCAACGGTGTGTGCAAACAAATTGAGCAACGCGTGTCAGCGTCAAAATTTGTTTGCACACATTGTTGCAGTTATGAGAATTTATCTAAAAAATAATGATTCATTGCTTATATTTACATTTTAACTCAACCTTAACTGCAAATGTGATTTATATTTAAAAACCTATGTATTAGCTACAGTAAATAGAACAGGAAACATTACAGTTTCTGGTCAATATGAGCATGATTTTTTGATTTTCGCTTATGACGTTGCACTTTCTCGGCGTTCAACGATTGTGAAGTCAAACTAAAATGCATGCTTTAACCTTTTGGCACCCTGTCCGTGTTATGGTGTTTTGAATGCATAGATTTCCATTCACTTTATATGCGTCGCCTGCGTGGCGCAGTGGTTAAAGCGTCTGCTCTAGAGTCGCGAAGTAAGGAGTCAATCCTTACGTCGCGGGTTCGAATCTCACTGCGGGACGTGGAGACCGGTCCTCCGGATGAGACCGTATAAACCGAGGCCCCGTGTCACAGTAGGTGTTGGCACGAAAAAGATCCCTCACTGCTCAAAGGCCCTGAGAGCCGAGCATAGGACAAAATTTGTAGCCCTCCACCGGCAAGTGGTGGCGTCTCCATATGAGTGAAAAATTCTCGAGAGGGACGTTAAACAATATACAATCAATAAATCAATCAATCAATCACTTTATATGCAAAAATAAAAATGTGTAATATAAACATATGCATGTAACTGCAATTAAAATATACAAAACAAAGATAATGCAAGATAACAAGTACGAAACAGGTCGTCATTCCACGCTGATACTAATGACAATTAATCTGTCAGGAGTAACGAGTTCAAAGAGTTTACCCCATGTTAGTACGCAGATGGAGTTATCAAAACGTGGTATGAAAGGTTAGTCAACATTCCAGTTAAAGCAAAACACGACTCGTAAATTTACGAGTCGTGTTTAGCTTAACTGGAATGCTGACTGACGTTTCGTACCATGATAAGGCTAGTACATGTAATTAAATACTTAAATATCTGGGAATTTTTCCGTTTGTCCGATTATGACAAGAAGCGCACGGCGGTCAACTTGGAATGCTTACACCTGATCCCACCTCCATATTTCAATAGGTGCGCGTTTGCTCTGCAACCATTTAATCCTTTTCATGAACTTTTGATTGGTTACTGTCCCTCATCTCTTTATATTTTAGATTCATTGCTTATTTTCGTTAAATGAGACAATTATTTCTTTTTGGATAATATTTAGAAATTTGAACTTTTTTCACATTTTTGATTTAAAGATATGAAAGATAAAGAATTTTAGACATATCTTTTTCATAACACTTTGTGCAAACAACTTGAAGCTATTGCATTATTGAATAAATCATTTAATTTATACAAAATTTTATTCACAAAAAGAAATGAATGGGACTGGACAGCAGGAGAAAGCCCTTTTTTGCCTCCTCCCTAATAAACCACGTGCCTGTAAAAGTGAAAATAATCAATACGTCGCAATCAGTAGTTAAAAAAAACTTGGCAAAAACGTCAGATAATTTCGTTTTAACTATCTCTGAACCTTGACTATTTCGTATACATTGTTTCATGAATCTGAGCTAAAAAGGATTCATTACCTCTCCTAAAGCGGTTACATATTGATAATTACAGAAAAATTCCTGAAATTCATTTGATAAAAATCGATTTCATACTTGCAACATTATTAGTCCTATAATAGATGTGGATGTGACTAATGCTGACGATTTGCCCTAGATCGACTCTCCATTCTGCCGTTGTCTTTTGAGCGCCAGATATTGTACACTGTCCTCCATTAGCTCCACGGTCAGAATATCTCCCGTCCACTGCTTTCCCTGCTCCCCATTCTACAGGTTGATCTGGCCAATTGTGTTGCTGCCAGGCAGGTCTCCCCAAGGCTAAATTCACTTGTGAACAAAATGACAGAGAGTTCAATTGTCCTTTAATATAGTTCTATGTTTTTTATGACGATTAATTTTTGAAAGTATTGATAACATAAAGTGAAGATATTATACAAAGAAACGAAACGCTTTAAAACATTTTATGTAATTACTTACAATAACTACAGTGTGGACCTTGATATCCTGAAAGACAACCTTTCACGCAGTTTCCAGTAATGGCGTCACACGTCTGTCTCTGACAATTCACTGGGCATGTCTGATTACAATATTCTCCATAATATCCAGGAGTTGTACAACCTATATAAGAAATACATATGATAAGTAACTACTTCGTATTTCATTTTATTTGTAGCTTGTCCATATCTAATTACCAAAGAATCAGAGAAAGCAACCATATCGTCGAGGAAAATTCGCATACATCATGTAGAATGTAAATTACAATATGTTTCTCTGACTATTACACATTACCATACACCTCCACTTCACAAAGTTCATTGAATGCAGACTGAGAGTAGTGTGAAGGATAGACCACACCGCTAAGACGTTCATTGTAGTATATAACATATTGTCCATACACGGAACAGTTGATCCTCTGATCTTGTAGAGGTGTACCGCTAACAGTCTGTAATTCATGGAAACAGAGTATTCCGTTCTCTTTTGACGTCGTGTTGGAAACATATAGGTAAAATCCAGCAAATCGAAAAGCGTACGAACCTGCATTTAAAGGTACAAATTCAATATCATATATCCTTAAATATTTTTGAGCCAATACTATAGCATTTCTTTTTTTGAAATGAGCACCCATCTAATTTCACACATACCAGGATTATTATCCGTCCTGTAGAAGATGTTAATGTAACTGATGCTGACCACACTCCCTAGATCCACCCTCCATTCTGCTGTTGGTTGTCCGTCTGCTGATATTGTACACTGGTTACCTGTTGCTCCACGATCAGTATACTTCCCATCCACAGCCTTGTCTGCTCCCCACGGCAGGGAATCTGAATAATTTTTCATCTGCCAGGCAGGTTTCCCTAATGCTAAATTTTCTATTTAAAAACAATAAATCTTTCCATTTTCATTTATTTAATATATATAAGAATTAAGTTTTTCATGTATATTCTATGCACAATTATATTATTCCACGGCAAACAAAGTTCAACAATAAGTTGATGCAGTTCGAGTTTTTTTTACCGGTAATAATTTCTATATAACATATAGATGTATATGAAGGTATATGTGTGTAGTTTTAACGTGTAGTTATAATATACTCTTTCTCCCAATTTGATTTCATTTTTTTAATTTTATAAGTTTAATCACCGTTTTTTTTTTTTTATCAAAAATTGCTCGTAGTGATACATGCACCACAATGGTCATTTAATATTATCTATGCTATAGTTATGTCACATCTTAGATTTAAGTTAGATTTTTTAAAAAAGTATTTTCTCTATTGCAGTAACTAGGGTATTAATGAAGATGTTTTGAACATAAAATCAAGAAATAATCAAGAAAGTATATTTTATCAGTTATAAGCAAAACTTAAATAATTTGATATTTTCCTTACGATGTGCACAAGTACACGTTGCATACATGAGGACGTAGATAACATTGAGTATCATTCTCTTCATTCTACAAAATTATAATTAAATTTATAAAAATGTGTTTGTGAAACACTGATGCCCCCGTATGGCAACATAGCATTTTGAAGAATTTCACAGAAATTTCTCTTTTTTGAATGCTCATCGATCAAATATGTATACAGAATTATGTACCTTAAGTAAGGCCTTTTCAGAAGAATGCATCTTATTTGAAATAAAAAAAACCCTAGCACCACCTGTTCAAGGGTTATGACCAAGGTTAACATTTTTAAAGGAAGGACAAACTCTGGGTTAAGGTCAAAGGGTCAAGATTGTTGGTTTCTAAAGAAACTGGCCTTGTCTCAAAGATTACATATGGTAAATATAAAAGCCCTGGCCATTACTGTTCAAAAGTTATGGCCAAGGTCAAAGTTTGTAAAAATAAGGTCAAACGTCAAGGTCAAGGTCAAAGTTGTTTATATCCATTGAAAGGTCTCCTCACAAAAATTACACATTTGAAGCACGAAAGCCCTAGCCCTTGCCGTTCAAAAGTTATGACCAAGGTTGAATTTTTTTTGTAAGTAAAGTAATTTCTCTATTGCAGGTCAAGGTAAAAAATGTTTTGGTTTCCAAAAAAGGTCTAATAAAAGTAATTTTATATTATAAGAAAACTTAAATAATTTGATATTTTCCTAGTGTCACAAGTACAGTTTAATAATTAGGACGTAGATAACAAAAATTTACAATTTTTGTTTAAAAAATGTGTTTGTGAAACACTGATGCCCCCGTAGGTCAAGGTCAAGCTTTTTAGCTATCAAATGAGAGGTCTTTTCACAAAGATACATATTTTTAATAAAAAAAAAACCCAAGCTACTAATCCTTTCAAATTATGACCAAGGTTGTATTTTTAAAGGAAGGTCAAACTCCAAGGTCAAGGTCAAAGTTCAAGGTTGTTGGTATTCTAAAGAAACTGGCCTTGTCTCAAAGATTACATATGGTAATAGGCCATTACTGTTCAAAAGTTATGGCCAAGGTCTTTGCTTAAAATTATAGCCAAGGTTAAAGTTTTTATATCAATTGAAATCTCTAAGGTAGCCCTTGCCGTTCAAAAGTTATGACCAAGGTTAAAGTTTTTTCACAAGTATAGAAATATACAAGGTCAAGGTCAAAGGGTCAAGGTTGTTGGTATCCAGTGAAAGATCTTTTAACAAACATTACATATGTGAAGTATAAATGTCCTGGTTTCTATTGTTCAAAAGATATGGCCAAAGTAAAATTTTAAAATTTTCATGTAAAAGTGGGTCAAACTCCAAGGTCAAGGTCAAAAGGTCAAATTTGGTGGTACCCAAAAAAAAAGGTCTTGTCACAAGGAATACACTTATGAAATATGAATTCCATAGCTCCACTTAATCAAAAGATATGAACAAGGTTAAAGTTTTTTTTCGGACAAACAGACAAACAGAAAGGCAGAGAGACAGACAGACAGACAGATGGACACGACAAAATTTATATACCCCCGAAACTTCGTTTACGGAGGCATAAAAATGACAAACATCAAGTTATTATTTGATATCGACATAAGACTAACAAATAAATTATAATTTCTTCCTTGGAAGTTGGAAGTTCCTTGCAGGTTCACGAAGGAAATAAATTTGCTAAATATATGATGTACTACTCGGCATAAAACAACAATAACCTGTCCTAAGAGATGCTATCTTTAGACAGCTGCTTAAGTTGTAAGTCTTTAAGAGAACCTTAACTTCGATATTCCTAAGAAGTCATCGTTTCTTAGTGTCTTGAGGTTCACTTTTTGCTGCAGAACTGTAGCTCTCTGCTTGAGAAAATTTGAACAGTTAAAGCAGGGAGCTAAAAACCTTCGATTTACGCTGCCGAGTTCGTGTCGCTAACTTAAAGTATTATTCCTTGTTGTTTATGCTTTCTCTGGCTTTTAGAATGGTATCCGATAATTAATCATTGATTTAACTTTTATTTATTTATTCTTTTTTTTACCTTTTAACTGTCCAAAACAGTTCCGTTTATAGTATTGTAATGTCGGATTAAACGAATCCCAATTCGACGCCCTGCAACAAATACCCTTTTAATAGCTTTTAAAGGTAAGTTAATTTTCGGGAATTGGAGTTAAATGTATGACTTATTATTGAATACAATTTTTAAGGTTGGTAAAGTATAAATTCGAGAAATAATACCCAGAGTAAGAAAAAAAAATCGAAGATTTTTACAACGCTTCTGTAGCTGTAGCTCTCTGCTTTATTGACCGAATTTTCTCAAGCAGAGAGCTTCAGTTCTGCAGCTAGTTCGCTTTGTGATCGGGAGGCTAGTGTTCGTTTGTTTCCTGTTAGCAGCTCTTCTTTAAACCTTATTCTATGGGAGGGGGTGAACTGGGCTGTTTGGTGAAAAAGTCGGAAATCTTTTAGATTAGACCTTAAATGAATCTTTTTGGCTCACTGGTCCAGGGTAGTTAAAGTGTAAATCTGAATCCTTCACCAATAATTGGTGTCGTTTCGTATAATTTAGAAACTGTTACATGTAAACTAGACGTAAACAACATATAATCTACCAAATAGTTAGTAAATATACCCGGTATAGTCTTACCACAGTAATTTTAATTTTACACAATATGGAGTCTATCTTTATATTTTCTGTTTTTCCATTGTCATTAACACACATGTAAAACGCAGATAAAAGCTTTAACTTGAACAAAGACTTTATGTAAACAGTTTAACGCTTGCATTGAATAAAAAATATGAATATTTTAAAGGTCAGTTTAAAAGTCTCGTATATAGCAATGCATGTCTGGGAAAAGAATACGATTCTAAAGTCGATAAACTGTATTATTTTTTTTAATCTGAAATTTACAACATTAAAACTACAGCATTATTTAAACAAATGCATGTTAATCTTACCCTAGAATGCATACATCTCGTCGGCAGATTTCAGTTTTTGTCAAGTTTTAAACCAGGAAGTTAATTGACAGTAGGCATAGTTTTACATCTTAACGTCTTCATACAAATGCCTCTCCAGGGCTGAGCGCTTGACTGCTTCTAATTTAAAGAGAACCAATTAAGGGTTATTTGAGTAAATTTTAAAATTATGAGGGAGAAAATTTTAAGTCAACTGCATTTAGGTCAACACAGTTAATACTGTAATTTCAACCCCCTGTTAGACATGTAAACCTGTAAGTAAAAACACAGACTGATTATCATTCATATTTATTTCACAATAACTAACTGCAAACGCGTATTTTTGGGAAGCCTTTTAAAATAAAAAAAAATTGCTTGAGTAAATATTGTTGAACATTTAGGGGTTTTACGTAATAAATATAAGGAAGTAGCTAGGATGCCAGAAAACACATGTATGATTTAAATTTCAGGCAGTACTTGTAAATCACAGGGAATTGTTATTACATTTACTTACATGTATAATGTATGATTGAAAATTAAAGTTTTAAATGTTCAAGTGTTAGAGCAATGTAAAAAAAATTCTGTACGGTTGTCTATGCTTTTAAACAATTGTTTAGTCACCTGAAGGAATTGCGTGATCCGATAAAGTGCAGAAAGGAAATAAATCTTATCTTTGAAATTGCAACACATATATCAAACAGCTAAAGGAAGAGTTTTCAATTTCTTGTTTTATTCGGAATGAGTAACCAAATCAGGATGAACTTTACATGATTAGCGGTATTTACAGGGAACAAAGTCGCACATGTTTTTTCTATACCTACGATGATACACATATGCATTTAATCAAGTTAACTTGTGATAAAAAAAATAATTTGTTTAAGAGAGTCATGGGAAAACAAACAAAATTTTAGATACTTTTCACTGTGGGAAACACAGAGTACAAGTTTGCCTATCTAAGATTTTATTGATAAGAAGTATCTGATAAATATAAAGTGCGGAAAACCATGCGGGGCAGACATACGCAGACCGAATTACAGAGGGACAAACAGTCAGACGGACAGAGGCGAAGGAAATCTTTAATCTCCTCCGATTTCTCCGGTAGAGGACTAACAAAAGCATGTGTGATATCCAGGAATAGTTTCATTCACCATAAATAAAAATTGCACAACTTCAATTCTACAAGGCAAGAATTTAATGCTTCACGATAAACACTTGCTACAGAAATTGCATGTTCATATATGACACCAATTTTAGACAACATATACAAACAATATAGTTTATCAATGTCCATTGTTAAATCTTTTTTTAACTTTCCTATATTATTTGTAAATTTACCTTTACAATACCTGAAAGCTTTTAAAATATTCCCATTGTTGCGAAAATACACATACTTTTACAGAAACCAAACACAGTTAATTAAAATCGAAGATAACAGAAGGAAGTGAAAAACAAGAAATAAAACGCAGTGTATAAATCAAAACGGAAGGAAAGTGGAAAAAAGACAGAAAGATAATTCTGATATCCGAATGTAACAAAAATTAAATAAACATCGTGAAGTTCAAAGGGAAACATGATATTTTTTAACTTTTTAATAGGAAGCCTGTAAAATGAAACTGCTATTAACATACTGTCTCGTTAAATGTGATATCAGGGCAAATCACTGAGACAGTTAATTATCTTTATATACAAATCTGCGTGTTCAAATCTCTTTTTAATGTGAATTTTTCATATAACGATTTTTAATATCAGAAGTTTCAACAAAGCCTTTACCTAGTACCTATGATTTGTTTCTAACACATATAACATAATTATGTTTAATACAAAAGAATCAAAACAACATAATCTTTCGGTTTTTTAAATTTTTTTTCTGATTTTGTTTGTCAATGAAATAAATTTATAATTGTTGTATTAAAAAAGTTTATATTATGTATAGGAGCATTTGATGTCGAGATTAAATTTCCGTGACATCAGCTGATGGCATCGGGCTCTGTGACGAAATATTGAAGTTTAGCTGATAACATTATCAACGCGTTAGATTTAAACTTTAGGAAGAAATGTATAGCGAGAAATATCATATTTGAACATTACACGAAAACCAGTAGTTTCCGATTTGTGTGTTAAATTGAAGCCTGAATCGAACAGGTTCAAAATGGCGTTGTACACCTTGTGTATTTATATATAGAGGGGGTAAAATGTTTCTATTTGGCTCTTTATAAAAATTCAGTGCCTATTAATTATAAGGCACACCTCATGAACAATAAATATTTGATTATGCTACTGGGCAAGGACGGGTTAATTACTGGCTAAAGGGGTTGAAGGTTATTACCGACTGCAAAACATCGGAGAATCTCTCGATTGAGTTTCATTTTCCAAAATATTAAGGCATCACTTTAATTAACTTAAGTAATAGTATCACACGAAGAAAGCCTTTATATAAAAATGCTGAAATACATCTGTAAGTTGTACAGTTATGGATTACTTGCATAATAAAACGTTTGTTTTTTTTCTCCTTTTTTTCTCAATTGAAATTATTTAAAAGATGATAAAAGCTTTGTTTCCAGGGATAAATTCTGTACTCAGTCTAATTATTACAAACGATTTTAAACGATCACATTTTTATTTAAAAAAAAATAATGGGAGCCTGAAAATACTTAAACTAATTTTAAAAAATTGGAGAAAAAAATTTAATCGGCATTCGATCCTTTTCTAAAAATCAGCCGATATAAAATATGCACAGAAAAAAGAGGCATGAAAAATCTTGATGATAAGCAAATTGAAAATTATATATAATGAATGATTATTTTTGAAAGTTTGCTAAATTCCTATGCAAGGTATAAGTTATAAAAATACTTTTTAAATTTGAATTTGTCAAATTTGTTAATTATCATTATGAGCCTTTGAGAAGAAATAAAAATTAAAATACAGATGCTTACAGACATATTGATAGAAATTCGCATACTTGTTTTTAGTAGAAAAAAAAATCAAAACAATGTATTGCTTATGCGACATATTGAAGAAAGTGACAATGATACCTAGGTAATTCTTGCAATGGACAATTAAATTCTTTGTTATACACAGACTTTTAGTGAACCTTTGAATTTTTAAAATACTAGTATTGATTGATTAAACAACAACTTTCCTTTTCACACGTTTTTTTTGTTTGTTTGTTTGTTTGTTTGTTTTTTTTTTTTAACAATATTTCATGAAAAATATTTGCCAAATACTCAGTATATGTTCGTTTATACATATCGTGCAAGACTCTGTTTTAAATAATTGTCATATACCATTTACTTATTCGAACATTTAATTGTATGAAAAGTCATTAATGTACATTTCTTAACACTTTATTATCTTGTTTACTTGTCTTTCTTCCTGTGAGACAAATAGTTCATAATATTAATAAACAGATGTACTCAGTATCTGTATCAAAATACAGAATGAACAGTGATCGGTCTCAAAAGAAAAACGGATCCTTGAAAGTTCCGGTTCCTAGGAGAAGTAAGCATCCCCAATGACAGTTCACACCTGCTGACCCGCAGTGAACCTACAAAACTGAAGCTCTCTGAAATTAATTAATTCTCTGCTCGTCCATCCGTTTTTCTCAGACTAGCCAGCTAAAGATTTATGTACAGTACTCCAAATCAATTAATCTAAAGAATTTGAATTATCATTTTATTTCTTTTTGAGTTGTTTGCTATAGTAGCCTTTATAGTTACCTAATTTCAGAATCAATAGAGCATGAAAGCCAATTAAATTTGCAACATCAACATAATTTTTTTTTCGTTCTGAGCACTTTTGGACGCCACCAATGGAGACAATTAGGGAGAACTTTTGAAATTGAACTTCCTGTCTTTCAAACTGAAAATCTCGGGTTGATATTTTGAAACAAACATTTGTGACATCAGTCTGGGATGTTATTGGTTATACCATTTATTTAAGTACTACAAAATTCAGTGTGTCTGCTTCTTCGCTGATGACACTGGAAAAAGATATGCATGCCTACTTGAATATCATCATTCAATGCATTTTTTGTTATTGTACACTGTATATATTCGATGAAAGCATGCTAACCGCTTTTCAGTACTTTCAGTACTTTGATTCATATAATGATTTTTAATATCAGAAGTTTATTTACAAAAGAACAAGTTGTCCTTTTCCCGGACTTTTTTTTAACTGTATAACAATATCCTGAACTGCAAATAATTGTTTGGTGAAAAATCTTCGAAAGATAAAAAATACACATTTTGTCCTTTTTACAACTTACCAATATACTCTCCATAGTATTGAATTATATGATGTGGAATTCATACTGTATAAATAGAATTTTTAGCGAGGATTTAATTTTAGCATTATGAGCAAGGGTGCCGACATTGCTAAAATTGAAAACAATGTATCGCTAACATTTAATTGCATTTTATATGTTATAACTTCTTTAACGTGCATTTTAAAATTGCTAAAATAAGATCTCACTAAAACTAAATTACCAGTTTTTTAAGGACAAATCGCAAAATTTGCGTTTCGCTACAATTTCCACTGATACGATATAATTGTTGTCATTCAAAAGATTGACTGACTGTGCTGTTGAAAAATCAACTAAATCAACTCAATGGGATGTCATTGAAATGAGCAGGATTAGGTACAATCTTACCACTTTTTGGTTAACCAGTATTATAAAACAAAAGTTTGCTACCTTTTATTTTTAATCTAGCAAATCATTGATACAAACACGGTTCAGAAATCCAGATTGAAAGAAAATAAATTGATGCCTTGTTTAAGATATAAAAACATTTTAAGCCATTTTGGTTTTAAAATTAATAATATAACTCATTAATATTTAAAAATATTAAAAATATGTAAAGTTTATATGATGTTCAAAATTCAACCCCTCTACAATTATAAACCATCTGTCTTTATCTAAACAATTTTTTTGGTCAAATATTCACAAATTCCATTTTTGTGAAACATTAAATGAAAATCGGTGCAGTTTAACTTAGGCATTTTATCGTTATAAATAAAACTTAATCAAGTTGACATTTTCAGGATTTTTGGTACTACATGTATATTGTTGGTTTCCTTTGTCCTAAATCCAAAGGAAAAAATACATATACTCTTCCGCATCCGGTTTTAAAGTTATTCATCGATTATAAGATTGCAGTTTTCACTTTTCTATCATAAGCAATTTTTTTTTTAAAAAGGACTTTGGTGTATTTAATATCATTTTTCTTATTTTATTAAGAAATTTGAAATGGTATTTGGTTTGCATACGTTTTAATTTGAATATGAAGTGTTTTTGTGCATAACTTAATTATATATGAAATCAATCGTCACTATGTAAAAATTGAGATTCATGTACTTTGTACGTTTTTAGCGTATACAAGCTGTTTCTGTCAGAAGTGTCCAGTGGTTTTAACATTTAGGCTTTTTAGCACTAATGTTAAATTTATTTACTAATATCATCCCATGGTAATGACTATAAAGTAGAAGTTTTTCATTAATTTCATCTTGCATTAGATAATTTAAAAATAATAAACAGGAAAAACATGATGACTTTTAACAGCTTACCTCTTCGGCGTGGAAAAAAAACTGAAAATAAAATGCACCCGAGTGTCAAATCAAAGAGCTTTCCTTGCCATAAAACTGACACGTATGTGTACCTCTTTAATCAGCACACTGCCTTCCTGTGCGGTCAACAACCCTCCCCCTTTTCCCCTATCCCCCTAAATAAAAGCTCGGTCCGTGTGTGATCACCGTCAACAAATCTGAACTGCTCCTTCACCTTTTGTCAAACAGTATCTATTTTCGGGATTCTAATCTTACCTTGTGTGAACTACATGTACGCTCATAAATGATTTTTCTAAATCAATTAAACAATTGTACAATTTATGGATTTTAAAAAATAATTTTCTTGTTGGAATATAAATTTAAAAAATCATATAAATCAATTTAATAAAACAAAGTCCCTTAACTCAATCCGCTGATTTATTTTATTTGTACGATGTTTCCATAATTTATGTTTATGTAAATAATATCTTTAAACGAACTTAAAAAAATACTGCACATACGGTACATCAACTTTTGGATCATCGGGTTTTCTTTCGGATCACCGGGTTTTCATCGGGTTACAGAAAGAATTATTTCTAGGAAACAATTTCTTTGATCCTAGATACATTCTAAACTCTGAAAATTTGCTAGCATTATTATTTTTTACGGTATTTTACTATAATAATAAAAGAAGAAGTCTGATTCCGCCGTGACCATGCAAGGCGAGTACTAGTAAACATGGAGAAAAACTTTATTCAGCATATTCTATTTACAGACATTGTGTATAGCTATGTGTGTACCGAATTTCATTCTAATCTGAATTGTGGTTTTGTAGATATAGATATAGTTTGCGAACTTTTTAATCACCCCTTGTACATTTTCATTCCAGAATGTTGCCATTGATTCCTATATATATTTCCCTCTGTTGTTTCCTCTTGTGCCCGGATGTAGTCGAGAACAACATTGTAGGTCATCATATACTCCTCCTTTAGGAAAAAAAAACATTAATAGATTTGAGATTGATCAACACATAAATGTATTATTTTTAAATGCATACTCGGATAAGAAATCAATAATGTATTGCATCAAATGTGTCAAGCAAGGATTTTTTTTAATTTAAAAAGAAACAGTTAAAATAATCAAAAATAGATCTGAGATTGACAACAGACATTTTTGCAGAATGAAGATGCACATAGGAAATCAGTAATACATTGCATCAAATGTATAGATGAGATGTATGTAAGATGTTACCAGAGTGGAGCAGAGATCCGGTCGTCTTATCTGTAGCTGACGGACGGCAGTGAACATGTCAACCTCTCCGTCCATAGAAATAGAAATATTCAAAATAAGTTGAAAAATTTATACTACAAACAATAAATGTTTCCACAAACTTTAGCTGTCATGTCCAAAAAATTTCATTACATGTGATACATTTTTCCATATGACATATACATGATTTTTATGTTAATACATGTAAATGTATTATGTTTAGGTCTCTGGATATACTCGCTAGTCCGAAGGTCCATAAGTCCAACGGCCTAAAACCCGAAGGTTTACAAGTCCGAGCATCAACTAATTTGAAGGGCACAAGTCCGAATGTTCACCAGTCCGAATAAAATACCTTGCTTGCCTGTCTGTATTTCCAAGTGACTTTCTAAAGGAGTTTTTCGTCGCTGTTTATTTTTTTTAAATAACTCATCGCATATGCTTAAAATTTAAGCACAATCATTGATTACATGTAAGATGTCATTGATGTGTGTTTCATTTTTGTACAAATTTGATATCGACTCCCTGTTTATCCGTGCATCTGTCCCTTCCAAAGTTCTGTCGCAGTTTTCTAAGCATGTACTCGATTTCAAATGCTTGACATTTGAACACAATTTGTCTCTGCGCATGTCAAATTGTAGGAATCATTTTTGTTTGAATCTGATGTTAACTTCCACGTAATCCCTGCGTGTTTCTTTACCACATTTAAGTAACAGTTGTTTCAGCATCTAATCAATGCAGATGCTTAAAATTGTTGCACACTCTTTCTGTTGGCATGTCATACGGTGGTATTTAATATTGCTTAAGTCACGGAAATTTGTCATATTTAAAAAGAGTTTTATAACTTTTATGACTTTTCAACTTTATACACACCCACATCCAACGAACTAATTAATTAATTCAAAAAAGTGAATTAAAATCCAGAATTTTCGATGTCACTGACAGCTTTTTTTCAATAAAAATGGAACTCGAAAATTTATTTACCTTGTCATTGGTCATTTGCTACATTATTTTGTTAAAAGCATTCTGACTGCAGACACAAGTACTCTGAAGTTGACATCAAAAAGATGAGTTTCTGATTGAAAATGTCTTTACTGTTTTTGGAGACTAGATCTTCCAACAATCTATTGGAATTCCCATGGGTACCAATGGCGCCCCATTATTAGCAGACCTAATTTTGTATTCATATGATACAGAATTTGTGCAAAACCTCATACGTGAAAAGAAGAAAACATTTGCTGTGACCTCCAACTCGACATTTGATATATCGACGACGTACAGTCAAACTTTCCATTCTTATGTCGCTACGATATATCCTGGTGTGTTTGAGATAAAAGATTTAACAGAGTCTGACAAATATGTTTTATATTTGGATATTTTACTTGAGAAAGACGTCGGTAATCTTACAACCAAGCTCTATGATAAACGTGATGACTTTAATTGTTTTATCATCAGCTTTCCTTATTAATGCAGCAATATACCTTTATCACCTGCATACAGATTTTATATATCTCAAGCATGCTCAACGTAAGAACAATATCTAGAAGGTTAATTATTGACAAGCAAGTTGATGAAACAAGACTTTTGACCGGTCGACAGTTGATGCTTTCTCTTCCAGGGCACCTGATCCCACTTCTGATGTTTTTGAGGTCCGTGTTTGCTCTGCTCCTATTTTGTGTTCTTTGTGGACTTTTGATCTAGAATACTGTTCATTATCTACATATACGTTATACAACAGAATCATTAGAAAGTTATTTTTATTAAACTTTATCAGATTTTAATTCAAAAAAGTGAAAGGATATGTGACATTCCAACGCATCTCAAATTTCTAATTTGAAGAACAAAAAATTACGAAAAAAATATCGTGTAGCATATTATAATATGTGATGCCTAAACCAAATTTTTTATCTATAATGTACTAGAAATCAGAGAAAAATACAACCTTAAAATACGTGTTAAAGACCTTTTACTCATTCTTTATAAATACAAAATTGAAGAAGATATACACAATGTAAATGTCAAATATCTCTAGCACAGCATAGGCTGAGAGGGAATACAATTTTAAGAATTAAGCAAATTATGATATTTGTGGACAATGTAAAGGTTGCCATTAAGATTGTATATAAACATTTGAAAATTAGCATTACTATAACCCCCTTCCACCATAACGTGCTGTGGTGGGATTCTGTTTAGATGTGTACAAAAATCTAAAAATCAAGTAAATTTGACATACATTAAAAGGATTAGTCATAACACATTTGAAGGATTATGCAAATTTTGATAATTTCGAGTACAGGTCGTAAAGTTTGACATCAATGTTGAGCACAAAATTGTACGTAAATACATGAACATAAGTAATGTTAGAATGTAAATGTGTAGCCCCTTCTACACAACATGTTACATGTATGTGATTGGATTCTGATTGTGATTGAGATATGTGAGGATAAAATGAAGCATTACGAAACTGCTATATGACTCAGGTCCCCTCAATAAGAAACGAAAATATGTGTAGACATTAAACAATAAGAAATGTTTATGTAATCAAAGCTACAAATAATTCTGAGTTTTTCATTAAAATGTTAACATCATCAACGCAGCCATTTACATTTTTTCGTCTGCTTTTCCATATTTATGGATTTCTTCATAAGTGTTTGGGTGGTCAAATTCACTAAGTTCTGCGTAAGGGGAAGTATTCCTGTCAGATTAGAAATAGTAATCAGAAATAAGTCCTGAAAAAGGTTTTAAGTAAAGTGAAAAAGCTCAATATATTAATGAATAAAAGAATACATACATATCTTGCCTCTTTTGTTTATCTGAAAATTATAAGCTTAAAATTTACTACATTACCTTTTCTTTGCATGAAATGTGATCGGGAATTTATTTCTTAACAACATCTTTACATACAGTTTTTTTAAAACATTTTCCCAACAGTCCGGACCATTTGTAGACTCTCTATATAAGAATCTAACAGAATGAATGTAACAGACTTTTTCTAACATACCATTAGCTTTTATTACGATGATTTCAAACACAGTGGTATTAGTTGGATATACTTTTACTTCAACTTTTACTGTAGATATCGAGATGACACCATTGTTTTATGAATGTCAAATATACGAATGTAAAGTGCATTTTTCATATAAAAAAAACTGTCATGTTTTATATTAGAAATAATTGCCCTTTACATTTGTATGTTTGACATTACCTCCTATATCATCAGCTCGGAATTCGTTGTAATAGTCTTTGTCATTTGGGGTGTCTAAAACCGGTCCTTTCTCTGTAAAAAAAAGTTGAATACATTACAGATGGATTATTATTTTTACAAAGATGTTATACGAGTATCATGTACCAATTTTTAACAGTTTTCTGTAAAAGCACTTTTGATTTAGACTCGAAAGAGTCTTTCGATTAATTTCTTTCTAACATATTATATGTGTTAAAAAGAACAAAATTTTTCAAAAAAGAACAATAATGGAGTCTGATCTTTTTTTATTGATTTAATTTTTTTGAAATGTTATTTTTAAATTAGCATTTTCGGGGTGGGGTTTCAAACGACACATAAATGACAAAATAAAATTATTTACGTACGCTGCATTTTCCTCCAAATGACATAGTTTAGGAGACTTCCCATCAACACAATTAAAATAGAGACAACCACACTTGTAATGGTTATTGTGTAGTCATTCTTACTTGTGTTGCAAGACTGTACCTGCAAAATTTGGTCAAAAGAAGACTGTAGTTTATATGTAGAACATAATTATGTATTTATAATTTTTCATTTAGTGAAACTGATTTTATAAAGACCCAATTTTTTTTACCGTACGGTTACCTGACGAGGGGGAGTGGTCGAAGTAACAGTGGTGTTATTTACCTGGAGACCCCCAATACCCAAGATGTCAAAAATCTGTGTATACGTAGCATTACACAGGAAGTCTGTGTTTGGTAATGAGGGTCATCGTTACGTGTTTTGTGTCTGGTTTTGAGTAAAACCACGTGAGATAATTATTTTAATATGAAATTTATTTGTAAACTTAACGCATTCATCGTAATCATGGTAATGTTTTGAAGAGAAAAAAATAATAAGATACATGTTTATCGTTTTAGAAAATATTTTCTTTACATGAAAGAAAAAATCTCGAGTGAAAACTGCAATCAATATTTATCCTTTTTAATCTTCAATAAAAGAAATCACTCAATTAAAAAAGTCTGAATATTGATTTTAAAAAAAAATATCAATCCATCTATCCGTCATGCATGTGAACATGCATTTACCGCTATCTAATTTTTTTTTCCCTGACCAACAATGTTGTCCAAATATATTCCATATTTTTATTCTTCGTGTGTTAACAAAATTTTATTGTTAGAAAGATTTCTTTTCAGAATCGGTCGTTATTAATTATCTTCACATTTTCATTACGTATAAAAACAGATGCTAGAGGAAATTCGAGCATTAATTCTGACATCAATTTCTATACAACATCGTGCGGATTGTAGCCATAGTACAAAATAAAACATCTTTTAAAAACTATGCTCTTCCGTTTATTAGTGCTTAATATTTTTCTTTTATTCCATTTCTTGAAAAATAATATAAATCGTCGGACTTCCAAATACGGCAAATAGAGCCGGTTTCTGTGGACGCGGTCTTTTTTCTACATATAATGTGGACGATATAACACTTACAAGTAACAAACAATAGTGAAGATAGAAAAGAAATATTTTATAATGTCAATGTTTAAGCAATCTACTTTCAATTATTTTTTGAAATGAAATTCAAACAAACTGGAGTTTTCTAAACGCTTGTATACAATGCGGGTACATGAAAGAGATGACGCGTGACCAGGTAATTGTTTTCAAAACAATCAAACTCAGATTATCAGGAAGCACAGGTAACTGACTTGTCAATCAAATCAGAAGTTGTTTTTTTTATTATTGACAGGCGGTAAATTATTGATCTTGAATCAGGTCGATTTTGGAGGCTTTAACATTAATTGGGGTGTTTAACTGAAGAAAAATACAAATAAAACCCTTGTCATGATTAAAAATTCTTCACCTATTTTTAAAAACTTTTTTATGTCTGTATATCCTTCGTATGTATTATTAACTAAATTACCTGCGCGTACGATATACATTGCCCCGTTTCGTGATGACAGGTCTGGCTGACACAGTCCTTTTTACATGTCTCTTTACAGTTTACTCCCCAGTGCGATCGTCGACAAACTACAAAATGAATTTTAAAAAAAGTCCCCTATAGCATTCAATATCAAAGTTAAAAGATCAAGAGAACCGAGAAAATTAACAAAAAAAAATCAACTTTAAAAAACCATTTTTTGAGTAAATAAATACACAATTTCTCTTTATCAACAGAGGAAACAACCTGATTATAATAAATTTAGCTGTTAAAGAAAAAAAAGATGAACAATTTCAAGAAAAATCGATATAAAATGAATAAAAAAATGACCGATATCTTCGCACGATTGATGAAAAACAATAAAATTCTGTTTTCCTTTGTTATTTAATGATTTGAGAAATGCTAAAGAAATCTGATTTATTTAAATTCGATCCTTAAAATACGACAGTTGAACGTAAAACTCTTGCAGCATTTTACATTCTTTCAATGCAGATGAAAAACTAATGAATTGTTCATCCGTTAATTTATGCACGTAGAAAAAACCCAAAGCAAATCGTTGTATAGTACATTTTTATTTGTACACTATGTTGCAGTCATGTGACCTTTATCGTATTGAATGTTATTCAACGCATTTAAAAATAAGATATTTTATGTTTTGTCATAATATTACAAAGAAAATAAAATACTTTATATACCATTTGTACAAAGAGGCCCGTCGTATCCTACAGAGCAACCCTCTGGACAAGCTCCATTAAGATGGTTACACTGTGTATTGTTAAAACAATGGCCACAGCTTTGGTTGCAGTTGTAACCATACTTTCCACCTTCACACGCTAATCAAAGAATAAAATGATACCGATTGATGACATGCTCTGTCGTATTTTGCACGAAAATACAACAAAAATACAATAACTTCAAACTATTAGTATTCAAATCCTTTTCATCACTTTTAATGTAGATACATGTAACTACAGTTGACTTTCCAACTGCAATGAATATAATGACACACACATGTTTGAATACTGTATCTACATGTACATGTAATATGAGAGAAAATGAACTAATAAATCAAAGATTTAACAATATGTAGATGTAAACAAAATGAGATAAGTTCTGAGCTCTTGATTACGTGTGTATGTTTTTGTTTTAGATCTTGATTCCAACAAGGAAGTTGGACACGGATTCTTACCCCCCCCCCCTCCCACCACCACCACCACCAAAAAAAAAACATACCAATGTTGCATAGAGATCCCTTGTATCCTTTAGAACATCCTTGTAAACAAGTACCGTTGATATGATGACATTGTTCATTGTTCAGACAATTACCGCAGACTTGATTGCAATTAACACCGTACATTCCACTGTCACATACTGATAATAAATTAAAAAAAAAAGATTTTGAAAGAAATCTGAAATACGAACAAATAAAACATATTTAGTTTAAAATTTAAACCTGAACATGTCAAAACAATCATATAAAGAGCAAAAATAAAATAATGCTTATTGCTTTTTCAACTTTACAGTAATCTTTGAAGAACTAAATATTTTAATGTCAATCAATAGAAAAAAAAACTTTAATGAGAAGGTGTGCAAATACATATGGCTCATTCAAAATCTGATGTCAATAAACAATTTTTCTTACAAATATTCTCAATTAAGCTTTATAATTTCCTTTTCGGACAGAATTTACATTTGACCTCATTTGCACTTATTTAATCAATTTTATTCTGTTATCTTTTCATTAAATTGATATTGACATTGCGAATTGGATACCTTTGTCACAAAGCAATCCCTTGAATCCGATAGAACACCCTTCAAAACATAAACCGCTGACGTGGTTACACGGTATATCCTTTATACAATGTCCACAACTTTGGTTGCAGTTGTTTCCATACATACCACCATCACAAACTATTGCCAAAAAGAATTTCCCTTAGATATTGTTTTATTTTGTATCAATTTGAAAATAAATATTCTGTTTTGTAGTAAATGTGCGAATATGCTTATAATATATTGACAAGGTTTGAGAAAGAAGCAAGGATGCTAATACCATACCAGAATTGCAGAGAGACCCCTTGTATCCTTTAGAACATCCTTGTAAACAAGTACCGTTGATATAATGGCACTGTTCATAATTAAGGCAGTAACCACAGACTTGAGAGCAGTTTATACCATACATCCCTCTATCACATTCTAGATATTTTAAAAGTATTATACATGTAAACCATTATGATATCATTTTCTCAGTTTTTTGTTTATATCCTTACAAGTTTCTGTTATTGAATATTTTTCTTCTTAAAAAATTGCAAAATTTATATATACATATAAGTTTTAGTAATTCATTGCGGTGTATGTAAGTGGTAATACGAGTGATTAAATATTGAAAATCTCTGTCAAAAGAAATATGGATTAATGATAAATTACTTGTTATGCAGCCCGGCCCCTTGTATCCAGGAGAACACCCGTGTAAACAACTACCGTTGATGTGATGACACTGTTCATTGTTTAAGCAGTGACCACAGGACTGAGTACAGTTAATACCATACATTCCCCCGTCACATTCTAAGACTGAAGTGTACAAGTAGTTAAAATCTCTATTTTTGTCCAAATTAATACAAAGTGATAGGAAATTAATAGTTATCCAACCCGGTCACTTATATCCTTTACAACTACCGTTGATATGATGACATTATTCATTGTTTAAGCAGTGGCGACAGGACTGAGTGCATTCTTTTGTCACATTCTGAGAGTCGGTGACATGTTTTTGAGAACTGGATTTATACATAGACCCATCTTTTTTTCTTTATCTTCGTATAGGACATGTAAAGAAAAACTAGAAGTAGAAGTAAGCAGCAAAGACATAGACAAAAGTTCTTCTTTTTCAGCGGGTCCGCACTACACAGGAATTATACTTTTGATATTTTAATGCCATGTTTTGTAGAAAAGACTTTTTAAGACAACGATTTAAATTGATTTCGATGTAAAGTACGCATAATGACGAAGTGGTACAAACACGTCTCTATACCCTCTTAATCTCTTTTGCGAGGGGATCAATAATCGCCGTTAAACGATTAGAAATTAAAGTATTTTTATGTATCTAAACTTTTAGAGGAGGAAAGACCAACTCATATAAAAAAAAATTGTTAAAGTATGAGAAATAATCATTTTCGTTCTTTTTAGTGTGTGTATAGGCAAATATTTTCAGTCTTAAAGTGATTTTTTGTAAATTGTAGAGATTCTATGTTAAGTATTCTTAAATATTAGATGAAATATTAAATAAAATTAAGATACAATTGAGATTAAAATTTTCACTTCTTATCTGTCGCACTATAGGCACTTCGCCCGCCTTATCCCCCATCTTCTTTGGGAAAGTTTATTCAAAGTGTGTATACTAAGAATAAACCTATCAGAAAGTTGCTCGAAACCGATGTAGCATGGCACTGGAATGATTAACGAGAAAAGTCATAAATAGTTTGAAGTGATACATAACGACAATTCATAATTAGTTTTATGGTCAGTTTGGATCAGGAGTCAGGTTTTGAGATCTGTAAGTCACCATTTACATTCCAAAACATACATGTATATGAGTGTATTCATTTAGGTTAGATCTACATTTTCAATTTCCTTTACAGACTTCATCATGCGGTGTGTGAAGAATGGCAAATGAAAGTTGGAATCATGGAAGGAATAGCTATAGGTTATACCAGATAATTTAGGAAGGAAAACAATAAAAATGACACATTATTTCCTTACAGATAAAAAGAATTTTGTGAAAATATTCAACCAGTGGTAAATCGACTGCTATTTGTTTTGTTGAATTGACTTTTAAACAATGGTTTTGGCTCTCTTTTTTAATTGTTAATTCAACTGTGACAAATTTTACGTACATGTATGAAAAAATTCAAGTTTTGGTACAATATTTTATGTTTTAAATTTCATGTGAAGGCAAGGCTGACATTTTCAAATGTAAACATTTTTTGTAGTCATTGAATTTTAAAGAGCTTAAAATAAATTATTTATAATTTGTATAATTTCATTTTTTTTTTTAAATTATTTTTAAAAGTCTGAAACAACAATAGTTGATACACTGTGATAAGTACATGTAAATTATGTTAACATTAATGCAAAATCCCCCTAACCATTAGACGGAATACGCCTTACAGGTTAGGCGGAATACAGTACGTCTAGATCTACTGTAAGTAAAGCGGAATACGCCTTTCAGGTTAGGCGGAATAAGTCTAAAGTCTGCAAGTGCCTAGCATACGGCGAAGAAAGCACAAAATCAACAATTATTTAATTACTTTATGACTGTTTGTTGCATGTAAACTAAGAGGTGTGTTTTATACGCCCGTCTTAACACGGGACGTATTATGTTATAGGCCTCATGTCCGTCCGTCTGTCCATTCGTGTCGTCCTCATAACTTGAAAACTATTAAGCCTAGGATTATCAAACTTTGACAACTGATACTTCTTGGGTAGACGATGTGTCGCACACAATAAGTAGGTCGCTCTGGACCTTTAATAAAGATGCTATGGTCAAATATGGAAAAATCTTGTCCTGCTCATAATTATAAAACCCACAAAACAATGCTATTTAATTTTTTTAGTGGAGAATTACAAGGTAGATATTTCAGGGTATAGTGAAACAAGAGGCCCATGGGCCACATTTCTCACCTGAGAAGCTTTGAACATTCTGTTTTTTACCAGATTTCTCCCTTGTAATACATAATGCATCCCCACCCTACCCCACTGATCATAATATAGACATTTTGAAATCTACACTACCCCATGATCCTTCCACGTTTCAGCTTTTCTGGCCCAGTGGTTCTTGAGAAGATTTTCAAAGATTTTTCCTAAATATTTCTATGTAAAACTTTTATTCCCCATTGTGGCCCCGCCCTTCCCCCGGGGGTCGTGATTTGCACAATTTAGAATCAACACTATACCAGGATGCTTTCACATAAGTTTCAGCTTTTCTGGCCCAGTGGTTCTTGAGAAGAAGATTTTTAATTATTTTTTCCTATATATTTCTATGTAAAACTTTGATTCCCCATTGTGACCCCGCCCTTCCCCCGGGGGTCATGATTTGAATAATTAAAAATCTACACTACCCTAGGATGCTTTCGCATAAGTTTAAGCTTTTTCTGGTCAAGTGGTTTTTAAGAAGATTTTTAATGACCCCACCTTATTTTTGTCTTTTCTTGATTATCTCCCCTTGCCTTGCGAGGGAATATGTCCCTTCATTTTAACAATTTAAATTCCCCTTTACCCAAGGATACTTTGTACCAAGTTTGGTCAAAATTGGCCCAGTGGTTCTTAAGAAGAAGTCGAAAATGTGAAAAGTTTACAGACGGACAGACAGACGGACGGACGGAAGGACGACGGACAAAATGTGATCAGACAAGGTCACTTGAGCCTTCGGTTCAGGTGAGCTAAAAATAGTTTGAAAGATCAAGGTTATGAACACTGTAAAGGTACTTTTCCGCGTGGTATTAATTAACGCTATGTAAGCGGTCACAGTTTTTTAGTCTAAGAAATCCTTTTAATTCTCTACCCGCGGATTAAACAGAAATTGAGATTCCGCGGAATTATGAAAAAAGGTACGTCTACAGTACTCCAAAAAGTATAGTTATTTAGCATTTATTTTTAGGTTCTACAGGAAATCAACCAGGATTAATATGTGGATAAAAATAATGTTCTAGAAAAAAATTATGCATAAAATTGTTTTCTTTTAGAGATAAAAGAGATCTGGAGAAGAATGAATTGATGTTAACATACTAGACATTAAAATTGACTTAAATCTGAATATGTCTTTTGTTGTGATATTACTTTTAGAGCAATGAGGATCAGGAAATGTGAGGTGAAGGATAACTAAAAATTGGATCATTCAACAGATGAAAGAAAGGGAGCCTTTGGGAGAAGTTATGTCAAATGCATGAATTGAATATTTAAATTGCAAATATTTTGTTGCTTCCATATTTACAATGTGTGAAAAATGTTCTAAACAAGTGTTTAGCCATGGTTTGACAAACGTATACATTTATCATGTGAGCAGTGCAAATAATTAACCAACACATATAACAAACATATTAAGCACGTGTTATGAGAAACATATCTTACACACACGTTGCACGTACGTTATTCCTATGAGAAACATATGGATAACGTACTTGTGCAACGTATGTGTAATGTGTGGTACGTACGTTAAACATACATGACACACATGGTATTCATACGAGTGAAAACGTACGTTTTATGTACGTTGTGCTTTTTTCACGTTTAATGTATGTGAAGTCACATATGTTAAAAGTACGTGATATGTACATGGCACAATTAGCTCTGTATAAGAGCTTTATATACATTAAAGTTGTAGCATATGAATGCACATTGCAATCTTTTACTGATATAAGCATTATTATATTGAAAGCAAAACAAGAGGCCCATGGGCCACATCTCTCACCTGAGCACTGTGGCTAGGAAAAAGCAGAAATTAGTTTATTTTTGAAAAATTTAAATCCAAAAGTAGTCCCATGACCAATCATGGCTTTGCTACTCTTGAGAAGGCGATTTTTAGAGAATTTTCCTATTTCTATGTAAAACTTTGGTCAGCCATTGTGCCCCCTACCCCAAACCCGGGGGACATGATTTAAACAAACTTGAATCTACACTACCTGAGAATGCTTCCATATTAATTATATCAATTATGGCTTTGCTATTCTTGAGAAGAAGATTTTTAAAGAATTTTCTTAACTATTTCTAGGTAAAACTTTGGTCAGCCATTGTGGCTCCGCCCTTCCCCCGGGGGTAATGATTTAAATAAATTTGAATCTACACCACCTGAGGATGCTTCCATATAAATATGATAAATTATGGATTTGCTATTCTTGAGGAGAAGATTTTTACAGAATTTTCCTATATATTTCTAAGTAAAACTTTAGTCGGCCATTGTGGCCCCGCCCTACCCCCGGGGGTTATGATTTGAACAAACTTGAATTCAAACTGCATGAGAATGCTTCCATATAAATATAATCAATTATGGATTTGCTATTCTTGAGAAGAAGATTTTTAATGATTTTTCCTATATATTTCTATTTAAAACTTTGGTCAGCCATTTTGGCCCCGCCCTATCCCTGGGGGTCATGATTTGAAAAAAAAAAACTTGCATCTAAACTACCTGAGGATGTTTCCCCATAAGTTTCATCTTTCCTGGCACAGTGGATCTTGAGAAGAAGATTTTTAAAACATGCCACCAAATTTTTATTAATTGCCAATTATCTCCCCTTGAACGAGGGCGTGGCCCTTCATTTGAATAAAATTGAATTTTCTTTACCCAAGGATTCTTTGTGGCAAGTTTGATTGAAATTGGCCCAGCGGTTCTTGAGAAGAAGTCGAAAATTGAAAAGTTTACAGACAGACAGACGGACGCCGGACAAAATGTGATCAGAAAAGCTCACTTGAGCCTTCGGCTCAGGTGAGCTAAAAATGATTTCAGTATTCTGTATTTCAGTATTATGGTTGACTTTTTTGTCTGTTTTGTTTTTTGTCTTTGTCACTTCCTTGTATTTGTTACATGTAGTATCTTGATTTTTTTTTAAATGATCGTACTAAATGAGACAGGCGAGAGAGATTAACATCATATACAGGTATTCTTTACAACATTTCTTAATAAATAAAGGCATTCTATAATTGAGAAACTTAAATGATCCCTTTGACAAACAGTTCAGTATTTAACTGGCCATTATCGTCTTTCAGCTGTGTAACACCCACTTCGAGCAATTTTTAAATATTCCGTAGTGTTTTGGTATTTCAAATTTAGTGAGGTATAACCCATCTTTAAAGACATAATTTTCACTATAATTAATTTATAAAACATAATTATTATATCAAAGCACTTTCTTACGTGTGCGTAAGACCTGAAGCATGTTTCATTCTTCCAATGTACACATTTAAGAAATAAATAACAAGTTTATAAACTTCAATGGGAATTGAAGTGGGTCGGTCACGTGACCACAAACTTGACTCAGTTAACACCATACTTTCTATTATTACATTCTTAAAATACAGGTTTGGTGACTTGCACAAACTGTCATATGTAAAAATATTCACAAATTTAAATGATAACAATTTCAACAAGATATTCTTTCAGAATTTTTTTTTTGGCAAGTTGTTTTCTTTTATTCACATTGTGAAATTATGAGATATTGGACACAAATAATGTTTACACGTCAATGAAAAAAAAGGATCCTCGGCAAGGAAAAATAACGTAAAGATCACGTTGAATGAGAGAGAAAGAATCTCCTCTTGCTACAAAAAATGAAACTTTAGTTTTAAAACAACGTTTAGAAAATCCATTACATTTTAGGGTGCAAATTATTTCCAATATATATACCCACTGTGACTTGCGCATAAGCAAGAATTTAATTTGTTTGTTTGTTTTTATAATGTTTAACGTCCCTTTCGAGCGAGAATTTTTCACTCATACGGAGACGCCACCACTTGCCTGTGCATAGCTATTCATTTTGTCCTATACTCAAGGCCATTGAACAGGGGGAGGGGATCTTTTTATGCCCGGCATTTCATATTGTCTCATTCGAAGGATTCATCCCACAGTGGATTCTAACCCGCGACGAAAGGAACACGTCCTTATTTGCGACTTTAGAGCAGACGCATTAACCACTGCAACACGCAGGCGACCATTTTATTTGATTAAATAGAGGAAAAAATACTTATGAATATAGAGCGGAAATCCATTCTTTCGCAATTTACGTTTCCCTCAAACCTGTTGAGAAAAATGGTATATAAACACATACTTTGATCGCATTGGTCTCCCTTCCATCCGGGCTGACATCCTCTCTCACACTTTCCAGAAAATCTGTCACATCTGCTGGTCACTCCACAAGTAACGCTACAGACATGTACACAGTTCTTTCCGTAGGTACCCGGCTGACAGGCTGTAAAATGTTTAAAAATACCGCATATAAGCAGATTTTTTTTTTAACTCAGATATAATTTTACCGATTTTGAATTATGCTTAAAACATTCCGCTTAGTACAAAATTATAACACAATAAAAATTTTACAATTCGGCTTAAAAATCAATGATTTTAACTTTGAGAGAAGATTACACCATCCTTGGCAAATCACCTTTTGAAAGTTTGGTAAACGTCAATGATTCAACTTCTCATATAAACATATATATTTTTAAAATTCCTTTTTTTTTGCTACTCGGGCATTATAAACCTTATTTTTTATTATGCATGTATAGATACATACGAGATCAGTTACCAATTTATATGTAAGAAGAAGATTTATTCACAAAACGTGTAAGCTCAAAATACTTAATTTAATTAAAGAAAAAAGACTCTGAGAAATTTATGTATAAAAAAGAGCGACTTACTTGTATTACATTTATCTCCATTAACCCCCTCATTACAACCGTTCAGACAGGTGCCGTTAATATGGTGACAAGTTACTCCGTCACTACAGTTACCACAGTTTTCTGAGCACTCAGGTCCGTATGTTTGCATACCACACACTAAAATCAATTGAAACCAAAGTTTAATAACGCAGCCAGGCCTAATTTTTTCAGTATATGCTGCCTCAATCTGCACTTTAAATAATAAAGAAAAATGACGCGTTTGTGTATATGACATTTTATTTCAATTGCTTTTATGTGGAAGAGAGAACGATATGGAGATAACGAACAGTATTCAATCTCAAAGTCCATTAAACAATATACAAAATCAGAGCAGAGCAAACACGGACCTCCGAAACATCAGAGGTGGGATCAGGCGCCATGGAGGAGTGAGCATCCCCTGCCGACCGGTCACATCCGCCGTGTGCTCGTTGTCATGATCAGGAAATAACGGAAAAAATCCGTCGTCAATTTAGTGTATAAATAATGGACTAACAATTGGTATGAAATACGTCAGTCAGCATTTGACTCAATGATAAATTGTATTTGCTGACAAGGTCATTGTATCGACCATAGAACTTCATTCGAGACTGCTAATATTCTTGTTTCATCACCTTGCTTGTCAATAATTTACCTCGTTTAAGAAATTGTTCATACGTAGAGCATATTCTTGCGTATCGAATCAACTGAGATATATATACTCCGTATGCAGGTGATGAAGGTATATAGCTGCATAAGTAAGGGAAGTTGACGATAGAAAAGTTAAAGTCATCACGTTTATCACAAAACTTGGTTGTTAGATTACCTTTGTTGTTAGATTACCATTAGTGTCTTTTTCAAGTAAATTATCCAAATATAAACAGAAGTGTCGGACTCGGTGGTATCTTTTATCTGAAGCTCACCAGGATATATCATATTGACGTAGGAATGGAAATTATCACTATTAATTGACAATACGTCGTCGATATATCTGAATGTCGAGTTGAAGGCCACAGCAAGTGTTTTCTTCTTTTCACGCATACGATTTTGCATAAATTCTGCTAATAACGGAGCGCAATTTGTACCCATGGGAATTCCAATAGATTGTTGGAAAACCTTGTCTCCAAAAACCACATAGATATTGTCTATCAGAAACTCAAGCATCATCTTGATGTCAACTTCAGAGTACTTATGTGTGCAATCAGAATCTGTTTTAACAAAAAAAATTTTGCAAATGACCAATGACGAGGTAAGTAAATTTACGAGTTTTATTTTTATTGAAGAAGCAGCTGTCAATGATATCAAAAAGCCTGGATTTTAATTTGTCGTGGGGAATTGTTGAGTATTAAGTTGAAAAGTCGTAAGTTTTTAAGCTGTTGATTTTTGTAAAGTCTTGTGATTTCAAATTTTCAAAAGTGTATATGAGGGATATGGAAATAACGAAAGGTATTCAATAGCGAAGTCCATAAAACAATACAAAATAGGAGCAGAGCTAACACGGACCTCCGAAACATCAGAAGTGGGATCAGTGAACATTTTTAACATTGTTTATTACTTATATTTACATTTGAAACGAATACATTTCGAGTTAAATTGTATTTATTACAGGAACGGTCAAACGTATTGTTATGTAGTGACGTGCAATGACCTAGAAGTTGTTTGGTCAAAATATCACATCGCTCTGTGATCCAGTCGCGCTATTATCTCTTACCCCAAAATGAAATTCACACAGATTTGAACGTATTTTCTCTTCAATAGGTTCATCTTAGAAAGATATTTGCAAATGTAAATTTGTAATGGACAAACAACATTTACTCAATGATAAATTGTGTTTGTTGATAGTGTCATTTTATCGATTAAAGAACTAACGAAATAATGACTTTAATGGAGACTGCTGATATTCCTGTTTCATAAATTTATTTGTCAATAATTTATATCCTTTTAAAAAATTTTCATTCGTAGAGCATGCTCTTGCGTATCGAATCAACTGAGATATATAAACTCCGTATCGACGTAGGATTTGACATTACAATGTATCATTATAAATTGACACAACGTCGTCGATATATCTAAATGTCGAGTTGAAGGCCACAGCAAGTGTTTTCTTCTTTTCACGCATAAGACTTTGCATGAATTCTGCTTTATCCATATGAATACAAATATAGGTGTGCTTATAACAGAGCCCAATTGATACCCATTGGGATTCCAATAGATTGTCTGAAGACCTAGACTCCAAAAACTAAATAAATATCGTCAATCTGACGCATCTTTTTTATGTAAACTTCAGAGTACCTGTGTGTGCATTCAGAATGTTTTCACAAATAATTTTGCAAATAACCAATGACCAGATAAGTAAATTTACATTGTATTTTACTAAATGTATTGAAATCTTACCAGTTTTGCAGAGTTGTCCTTTATATCCTGTAGAACATCCACCTGAACATTCCCCGTTGATGTGGTTACACTGATCATCATCAAGACAATAACCACAAACCTGACTGCAGTTAACTCCATACTCTCTGCTGTTACATTCTAAAAACATGCTTGGTGACTTACATAATATGAAATTAAATTAATTTCAACAAAAACTTTCTTTCTAATAAGAAATTGGCTTTGTGGCAAGTTTCTCTCTTTATCACAATGTGATATGTTGAGACATTACACATTTTTGACTTAGATGTAGGCGGAAGAACAATACTATCGTTCGTAGTTCTTATCTCCCATATTTATATACCAACTGTGTCTTATGCATTAAACAGCAAGCATTTGACAAAATCGATTGATTGATTGATTTATTGTATATTGTTTTACGCCCCACTCAAGAATTTTTCACTCATATGGAGACGTCACCGTTTGCCGTTGAAGGGCTTCAAATTTAGAACTATACTCCGCACTCAGGGCCATTAAGCAGTGAGGGTTCTTTATCGTGCCAACCCTAACTGTGACACGTGAGCGACGTTTTTAAGGTCATATCCGTAAGACCCGTGACTTTCACTTCCAGTGACGAGCGCTTGGCGAAGAAACGGTCACTACCTATGTTAAGTCTTTGGTTTGACGCGGCGCCGTGAACGAGAATCGAACCCTGGCCTCCCGATCACGACACGAACGCTCTACCACTAGGCTACCGTGACCTCTTCATAAAATTGAAAGTAAATACGTATGAATATATAAGGAATCCCATCTTACTAGGGCTGATCCAAAAGTAATGTCACAACTTTGATAAAATCGCTATCCGTCGACGTAAAACAACAAATCATAAATGATGAAAGCTACATTTATTTCAAATCAACATGACTTATACTTTTTAAAATATCGGATTATATACAAGGTGCGATTATGATAGTCGCCGCACCTAAATAATGTCGTCATATGACGGATACGCGACATCTTACACTTAAACGCTTCCCTTCGTTCCATTAAAAAATATTTGAGATTTGATATCCATGAACACGTTCACAAATTTCACTTTCTTACCCTTAGTACCCATCGTACATTCACGCTTTCCATAATTAATTCTGTCAAAATTCATTGAACAGTAGTAAATGACTAACTTTAAATTTCACGTATTGCTCTATCCGTTTTTTTTTTTTTGAAAACGTCACACACCATTGAACATTCCCATTTTTAGATTTTTTTGTCATCTGCTGGGCATTTAATGACCCATCACCCACCAAAAATTGCTGAAACCATCTAAACAAGTCTCTTATTTACATTCTTTCCTCCGAAAGTCTGGTGAATCAACGTAACTTTCTCTACTGGCGATTTCTTTATTTTGAAGCAAAAATGCATTACAGTTTGTTTTGGCTTTTTTGTCCATTTTGACATTTCATTTTTTCGATGCACCGGAATACATCAACGATGTTTTTCATAAAAAAAAAAAGCAGTGATGTCAAATAATATAAAATTTAAGACTAGAAAATGATGTAATTTTTTTATCTTCTAAAGTTTTTGCGTTTAGGCGCTTCTAAAGGATGCTTTTTAAGTGATTGTCTTTTTTATATTAAAAAAGTACACTTTAATTTGTGACATTCGGTTTTGACGCGGTGACACCCCCTATCTTATATGATTTAAACATCTATAAAATAAATTCAATTTAACATTATTGAATGAAAAATTAAAATTTAATTAAATTTTTATTTGTGCATCTTTTGGTATATTATATTTGATAATATAATGGCAAGTATAAAAGATATGGACACTGTGACATTACTTTTGGATCAACGCTCGTAATTTCGGAATTTACGTTTCCCCCAACCTGCTTAAGAAAATGGAATTCAAACACATACTTTGATCGCATTTATCTCCTTTCCATCCGGGCTGACATCCTCCCTCACATTTCCCAGTAAATCTGTCACATCTGCTGGTCACTCCACAGGTAACGCTACAGACATGTACACAGTTCTTTCCGTAGGTTCCCGGCTGACAGGCTGTAGAATGTTTTAAAAAATTACAGCATTTAAGCAATTTTTCTTTTCTTATTCAGATATTCTTTAAGAGATTTTTTATTGTACTGAGAAACGCACAGTATGTCAGAAAAAAAATATCATTACATTATGAAAATTTTACAATTTGGCTGAAAAAGCAATGATTATAACTTTGAGATAAGGTTTGCTTTTCACGATCGGGCATTGTAAACCTTATTTGTAAATATAGATGCATAATTGCACATGGTACAATTTATATGAAAAAGAGGATTCCATCACATAACGCGTAAGCTCAGAATACATAATTAATATAAGGAAAATATCTGTAAAAATTAATGTATATATAATTATACTAAATCATGAGCGACTTACTAGTCTCACATTTATCTCCCTTATACCCCTCATTACAACCCTTAAGACATGTTCCGTTTACATGATCACAAGTTTCTCCGTTATTGCAGTAACCACAGCTTCCTGAGCACTCAAGTCCGTACGTTTGCGTATCACATTCTGAAAAATAAATATTTACATTTGCAAATGTTTTCCTTTATATAACACTACTGAAGGCAAGCGTTTTTATAACTGTGTAAATACAGGTATGGGGTCAAGAGGTCATAGATGTGCGTTTGGATAAACGTTCGACGTAATTTCTCTGTGACGTCATAAAGGGTCGACGCACGTTTAGTTGATTACATACATGCCGTTGGGTTTGAAAAAATTAACTGCATTTCACACGTTAAAAGTAACAATCAGGCAAATATAAAGTATGAATGTCACAAATGTAAATATAAGTAATAAGGTATCATTTTTCGAGTTTTATTGAGATGTAAAACGGGTTGGCACATGATCAAATCTTCCATAAAGCCCTTCGGGCTTTATGGGATTTGATCACGTGACCAACCCGTTTTACATCTCAATAAAACTCAAAAAATGATACCTTATTTCTTAAATAATACCAAAAAATACTTATAATAGTGCAGTCAAGCTTTTTTCTCAGAATATACAGTCTCAAAATGAAGCAATATTTGTATTGACTTTCAAAATGAAAAAAATAGCATTCGTATTTGTAACAATTTTTAGTCGCTAATCAAGTAAATTTTAGTACTTTTTCCAGTGAAAAATGTTTAGGGTGTATTTTTCTATTTTTGTTTTTAAAAAGAATCCTACATCTCTCTAAAATACAAGCATTAAGGAATTCGTCCTTACTTGTAAATAGCTACTTTAAAAAAAATTATCAAAGTGCTAATGGTAAGAATATCAAGTTAGCCTATTCATAAATTTTCTATTGACTTTTTTTGTGTATTAGTCAAAACAATTAAGAATGGTTGCATCAATTTCCAAGAAAGACAGTTGGGTTAGCAAATTATTTACAAATTACTTTTCAGAGGAAGCTTAATTTAAAAAATACTTCTAGGTTGCATATTTATATTCAAATACAATTAACATAACGTAAAAGTGTTCACTCTAATAAATGTATTTTTTTAAGTACATGATAGAACGACATGATATTTTCAAATAATTTTATTTTATTATACCCCTACTGATTTTCCCTATATAACATTATATCGTTAGATATGACTTATTCCCTAGAAATCCTTATGAATGTACTAATCCCCATGCATTAGTCAAGTGAGCTTATCCCTACTTCGAAAGCTAATTCCCGGTTATTCATGATCCTCTAGATTTTACATTGATGAAATTTGTGAATGGACTTATCCCCGACAGTTAGTTCCTTGAGCCAATCTCTGTTTTGAAATCACGCTTTCTCAATCGTCTACATTTTACATTTGTTTTATTTATTTTAAAACAGTTTAAAGGTATACAACTGAGGGAGTTAACAAGATTTCAGTTCCCTTGAGACAGGGCTATCCCCGAGAATATTTCCAAATTATTACATATATAACCAGAGAGTCTTCTCAATAATTGTCGAAAAAAAAATCAATTATTGCCGACTGAAACCAATATCTTTGGGGCAGGTTATTTGTATTCACATTTATAATTTTTAACTTAAAAAACATTGACCATCGAGGAAGGAGAAAGAGAGAGTCTTTGGAATGTTGAAAACTGGATCATCCTTTCCACATGATTAATCACTTTATTATAGTATTTAGTTGTTAATTAAAGTTGTTAATTAAAAAATTAACAATCAGTATAAAAATCCATTTTAACACATTTTTATAAAGTTTGTGCGTCATTTTTATCGCCATCTTATCAAAATTTGAAAAGCTTTGGTCAAAATTTAACCAAACCGGAAGTAATTTAGATCTTCGTTTGGTGCCGTTCAACTCATAACTAGGTTATGAGATAATTATATGATCCTGAACCACTTGAAAAATCTATAAAATCAGCAAATTCAAGAAAATGGCAAAACATTAGTGCTTGTGGTAGTCCAAAATATCAAATGATCTTAATCATACTTAAAGATGTACAATAACATGTAAAGACCCAAAGGAGGACGTAAGTGTTAAGCAAAATGCATTATGTGTTGATGAATTAGCCTTGCAAATCCCGAAATCTGAATTCCATTGAACAAATTCTGGACGTACAAAGGGATCACCCCCCCCCCCAACATAATTTCAACAGTAAGAAAGATCCATGCAATATGTATGGCAGAGATATGTCAACATCCTATTCAAAGATACATGGTATCCATGAGAGAAGAATGTCTTTCAGTAATCAGAGCCAGTGGTGGTCTTACTTAAGAGATTATTGTTTGTGAATTTTTACTTTGTAGTAAATTTTGCATCATGTCCCTGGTACTTTACTTTTAGTTTGACGAGATACTTGCATGAAATGTACACAACATCAACAAAAAAATGCATCATTAACCATGAAGTAAGGAAATTATTCATCGTAAGCATTTGTTTTAAATAACTTTAAACATCTTAGGTGAAAACTTAGAAGTTTGGTTCAGTGTATTTCAGGACTGATCTAAGTTACATCAAAATACCATTTAAATTACAAAAGGGGACACTGAATTCCATGGAAGAGCATATATATTACAAGTGCACAATTCCTTTCTTTACACTTTCCATTTATAAAAAAAAACTCATATTTTTAAATGTTATTATTTTTTTTTGCATCACATATTATACTATATTATTTAAAGGATACCGGTATACTAAAACGTTAGATTAAAAACAAAATATGTTCAATTCTTTTGTACATTCTAATAATGTGTATTCATCAGACATGGATGACTATAAATATAAATCATGATGGGTTTTTGTTTTGACAATTTTCAATAAAACATTAGAAATAGTTAACATATTAAATCACCTTGACTACACTGAAGACCTTTATAGCCAGGTACACAGCCCAGACATTCTCCTGTAGTGATGTGGCATCTCTGTTCCTGGCAATTTTCTGGGCATAACTGTTCGCAATTTTGTCCGAAAAATCCTGCATCGAGACACCCTGTTTGACAAGAGGGATTTTAAAACTTATCAAAAGGCTCTGCTCCCAAATATTATTGGGAATTTAAAAGTGAAATTGAACTAATATAGTTGAAGTTTTCATAGTTTACTGAACAATATTTTTTATCACCTTACCGTACACTTCTAATTCACAAAGTCCACTGAAGGCATAAGACGAGTAGTAACTTGGGTACGTTATACCCGGTCTCCTCTCGTTGAAGTAAATGACGTAACGGCCATGTACAGAGCAGTCAATCCTCTGGTCCAATGACGGTCTGCCATTTTCTTCTTGTATTTCATGGAAACAAAGGTTACCATCGCCTTTTGTCGTAGTATTAGAAACGTAGACTAAAAATCCAGCGAATCGCCCAGAGAAAAGATTAAAATCTAAAACAAAATATAACTAGTGTAAATTGTAACGGGGGCCGTTACATATATTCCCTAAACGCTCCCAAAATCCCTTAAATGCCTTATTTCTGTAAGACCTTTTTATTTGTTCAGTATCGAAACATTTCATTTAAGAATAAAGAAAGTTACAGAGGTATCAACTTTAACATTTAACGTTTTTCACGCACACGCACGTTCATACATGTGCAAGATGGTCATGGCATGTTGGCTTATCGATTAACATATCGTTATTTACCAAAAAAAAGAGTATAAATACAAATATAAATGTTACCATTTTTCGAGTATAATATTCATTTTGCGCATGTGCACGTGTATGATTGTCCTTGCATTCAAATTTGATAGTAACTCAATGTTGGAATTCATTATATCTATTCATATTCTAAATTTCAATTTGCTGAAAAACGAGAAAGTTATAGACATTGAAAGTTTCAGCCAATTCAGAATGCAGCACATGTTCATGCACGTGCTTTCCTGATAGTTCTGAAACATCAAACTGTAGATTTCTATTATGTTTTACTATGTTCAACGAAAGAAACAGATGTATTAATATGTTAGTTTTAGCCAATCAGAGCAAAGTGTATGTGCATGCGCGTAAAATCTTGCTAGTTTTACCATGCAATCTTGTCTGTACAACTAATATACCCTAATATAGCCTTACATTATGAGTTTCAAAACATTTCATAAAAAAAGAAATTTCATGTGTTGCACTTGCACGCTCTTGCAAGCGCATGCGCGCAAAATGACCTGCGTTCCGCAAATCTACATAACATGCCTACTGAACCTAAAAAGGTTGTACCTATGTCTGATGAGTACTTTACAAGATCACTCGCAGGAAAAAAAATTAGGAAGAAGAAATTAATAATAACTAGAAAGTCTGCTTTTAGACATTTCCAGATTTCGCGATCTCGAGACCGTACTCGCGCACTGACTCTGACAGTTGTTTCAAAATTTTTAGGGGTCGTGTCAAAATTTGATTTATTTACAAGCATCAAAAATACTGTTTCCAAGATAAAACAACGTAATATGTAGCATTTAAAGTCACATATGGTGTATTTGTCATAAGTTCAGACTAACCAAAATTAAAATGGTCTTTCTCTGTTTTGTTACGTTATATAAAGATAAGACCTGTAAATAACACAATTTATATCAATCGCGTTACATAGAAATACGACATTAAAAAAATAACCGATTTTTTCCGACTCGGATTAAAATATCATATCAAACACATTTTAAAGTCAATTTAACTTATACTTATAGAAACTAAGATATGACATTTGGGTTCAAAATCGGTGATTTTATTTTGAATTTAGAAAGCAAATATTATCTTAATCTTTGTTTCATCTCGTGTTTTACTTTTTTTTAGTTCAGATACACAATACTTAGTACATAGCTTTATAACCCTTTTTAAAAACTTATGTATCGAAGTACAGAGTCCAAGTCCGAGCTCGTGGCGCTGGAAATGTCTATTGCAAACAATAGCGTATGTCGCCCCGAACTGGACAATACTTTCATTTTTTCATCAGTAATATCTTTAAACGAAATCGGTCATTAAAGATGTCTTTAAAGAAAGTAGATCGAAACACGTTTTTTTTTTTTTTTTTGTAATAGCTTTTCGACAATTTATCAGCAAATTGAAATAAAGTGGAAAAATTTATGACACTCTCTTCCTCAAAAAGGAAATTGTTTGCGTGATGCTAACATTTGTAGTTTAGAGAATGCACAAAATACACCGTGGTTTTTTTTTCTGGGAAACCGTAACGTACCTGAGTAACAGAATTTTAGTGAGGACTAAAATAAGATGGTTGGGAGAATTTTTTCTGGAACCCGTGTGGATCTTTCTAAGGATTCTAAAGTTGTGTTGATGTAAAAGCATCAATATGTACAGGAATTCATTTTTTTTTCGATTGTAAGAATTTAAATATCATACCGTGTATCCATTTTTTCGCATGTTAGATATTTTGGGGGAAAAAAGAGGTAGAATTGTTCATTTTTTTTATTTTGCATAAATTATTTTTTAACGGTTGATGGGGAAAAAATTTAAAATGGAAAGGTTTTTATCATATAATATCCAACATAATTCCTTCAATTTTTAAACATATATTAAGCGAATTAAAATGCAGGCAAAGAAAACGAATAATAGATGATCTCCAGAAAAACCCTAAACTTTCAAAATTTCTCCTTAAGCAACTTTTGATTAAAAAATAATGTGATATCATAGATAAACGATGAGATATTTGTATACTTTGACATCAATTGTTTTTACTTTTAATCATAGATTATAATTAAAATCGTGTTCTTAATAATCTTAATTAATTCCCTCGCAACGGAGTAAGATAGGGAATAGTTTTCAGTCGTATTTGTAAACAAGGTTTTGTCCAATGGAACTTACGTTATTTGTATATATCTACATTAAACATGTATGCCGCTTAAACTGTGTTGAAGTCTATGGAATTAAAAATACGATAACACGGAAAGGGGGTCAAAAGGCTAAAGCTAGTCTTTAATATTGGTCTCACAAGCGTTAAACGCCGACGAAGTGCAGCGTCATAAGCGAAAATCAAAATTCAAGGTAATGTTGACTAGAAGCTGTTACATTAGCTCTTCTGAAAGACCATTTCAAATGCATAGCGATTACGTAAGCGAAGGTTGCTTTCCTTTTTTATCTACATAGGTCAGTCGTGGTTTGGTTTTTAACCTTAGACCTACTGAACACAATAAATGTAATGGAAAATACCACGTAGTAATATACGTGAAAGATAGAAAATCAGTGACAACGTACAAAAACTGTGTGAATTTTCCGTCCTGTAGAAGATGTTGATGTAACTGATGCTGACGACACTCCCTAGATCCACTCTCAGTTCTGCAGTCTGGTGTCTATCTGCCGATACTGTACACTGGTTTCCCCCTGCTCCTCGATTAGTATATAGTCCATCAACTGCTTTATCTGCTCCCCAGATGGTATTTGAATAAGGGTATTGCTGCCAAGCTTGTTTACCCAATGCTAAATTTCCTTTGAAAAAAATGTATTTTAAGTTTTTAAAAATCTACCACTTTTACACTTATGAAAATTAATAATAATATTAATTTATCTATGTAGTTTCCTATTTCATATTAAAAGACACACAGCTGAACCTATCTACAAATGTATTTTAATTAATAATCCACATGTTAAATGAAATCGTCTTTTCTTTTTTAATAATAGTAACTTTTTTTCTAGAGCAATTTATTTGTTATAAGTAGTGCTTAATAATGATCTGCGATTTGTAGAGCTGAAAGAGCAGTAAATAGAGAAAACTGATGATAAAAGCATCAAAATAGATTGACGCTGAAAAAGTCATGAGAGAGTATTATACCGCTGAATTATAGTTAAAATCGTAAATAACCCAACAAAAAGTGTCTTCCTAACAAGATAACAAAGATATACATGTATGAACATGATGAATAGGTTGTAAACTTACCATAATTACAGTGTACACCCTGATACCCTGGTAAACAGCCTTTCACACAGTTACCCGTGACTGCATCACATTGTTTCTCCCGACATTTTTCTGGACACAATCGATTACAATTTGGTCCGAAATAAGCAAGAACTGGGCATCCTGTTTTAACAAATTTTTTTTTCATATAAGCCTCTTTATTGGTTAAACTTAATTATACTATATCTTCAAGATTTTTTTTTAAATACAAAAATTTTAAAATGTATTTGTAGAATTATACATATTTTTACCGTAAACTTCCAGTTCACATAGTTCATTGAACGCAAAATTGGAGTAGTAACTTGGATAATTTACATTCGGATTATTACGCTCGTTATAGTAGATGACATAACGTCCATATACAGAGCAGTTAATCCTCTGGTCCTCTACAGGTGTACCGATTAGGGTCTGAATCTCATGAAAACACAGATGGCCGTCTTCTTTGGACGTTGTATTCGACACATAGAGAAAAAACCCAGCAAATCTTGTCACGTAAACACTGGGACCTACAAAAAAGACGGAAAAATGTATAAATTGTAGCGCCGTCGAGCGGTAAACGGTTCTGTTTAAATAATCCAAGTGTGAGATAACTCCAGTTTTATTAATAATCCGTGTGACTTTAATTCTCCAACCTCTAAAGCATACGCTTTAGGTTAAATGAAACGCAAAATAAAATTATTTACAGTTTATTTACATCACAAACAAATCCAAGTTTCACACATAATAAATCACTGGCCGGACTGCACTTTTTCCTACATGTATATCCCGTAATAGAATTAATAAGACTGACCGCCCCTAAGCTTTTACTCGGCCTATATATATATATAATATACATTGCTCATGAGGAGCAATCTTTTTTAACGGGGTCAGTTATGTAACGACATTGCTCGCGTGGAGCAATGACATGTAAACAAACATTACGTAACAATAAAACAGAATGATACTATAAGATACCGTTACAAAATGAAATCTATGCTTTTAGATATTGACCTAGAATTGTTCAACTGATTAAATGAGTTGAAGGCTAGTGTTTTAATATAAACTTACTTATAGACTTACATAGCATTCGGGTAATTAATATCATAGTAGGTACATGAATATGACACTCTAGCAGTATGTAAATCAAAAACAGTTGTGCTAAAAGAAATGTAAAAGTTTCGTCTTTAGCGAAAGAACAAATATTAGGATCTGCCTGTATGCAAAATGAAAAACATACACTTATGAAACTTTACAGAAATTATTTTCCTCCTGATTGTTGTTCATATAATATACTAATTTAAGACAGATAGAATCCCTTGAGTTTTTTTCTTGTGAAGATACAGAATGTATATATACTTTGTTTTCTGACCAATATTAATAAAACACAATTGGGAAATATATCACCAGAACAACTGGATCGTTTACAGGAATTCGATTATTATTAACGCTATATGAAATTAAATTGAGAAGACTTTAAAGTCTGGAAATGGTGGCATTCTTTCTATTCATGTACATGTTAATACAAGTTATATTCCTTTAATATACAATTAATTACCCCTTGTGATGTCAACATGGTGAAATAAGGACCCGAGACCTGGCCCACGAGGTGACCTGACCTGACCGAGGCCGCGTAGCGGCCGAGGTCAAGGCAGGTCATCGAGTGGGCCAGGTCGAGGGTCCTTATTTCACCATGTTGAACTCACAAGGGGTAATTGATTGTTTTATTAAACCGATATATATTGAAAAGTATGAATCTTTAACCGTTATTAATTCTTTCTTTGATCGGGATCGGGGAACGCTACAGACCGGATAGTGAAGTTTTTACATTGACGTCTGCAAGTTGTGTACGTTTTTGCATCATGATTTACTGATTAAAACAATATTAAGTTGATAGCGACATACATTGTTATAACTAACGATTACTTTTCCTCTACACAGTCAAAATCTAACACAGAATTCAACTCTTTAAAGAGCCGCCTCTACATTCTATTGAACTGAATAACTCTAACGATATATTGTAACGATAAAATTTTACCGTATTCTGTATGGTATTGCAAAACAGACCATGCACAATTTTAAAACATGTTGTTTTTTTCGAATAATTATTATTTTATGCATTAACTTCACTCAAATACGAATTTTTGATTAAGCGGTCATTTTTAGCGGTCATTAAAAATAATGACCGGGTCATTATATTCCACGTGCAATGATTCCTAGGTCAGTATTGCTGTAAACAGTACCATTTGGAGTCATTGTTGTGTTTTAAAGTTTTCTTACCAGCCAATCAAATTCGAGTATTATCAATAGAGGTATAATAAAAAATATATAGTTTTCTTCATATCTGAGAAGGTTCATGTTTCAACATACTAGGTACATTATCCGTCCTGTAGAAGATTTTGATGTAACTAATGCTGACCACACTCTGTAAATCCACTCTCCATTCTGCCGTCTGTTGTCTGTCTGCCGACATTGTACACTGGTTACCTAGTGCTCCACGATCTGTATACTTTCCATCCACCGCCTTGTCTGCTCCCCATGTAAAGGATTGTGAATAATTGTTCTTCTGTCAGGCAGGTTTCCGTAATGCTAAATTGTCTGTGAAAAGAAATTAACCTACATGAATATCCATTTCTTTTATTAAGTAGTATGCATTTTAAAATTCATATTTTTATACATATGCATATTTTCCCCTGCAAACAAAAGACAACTACGTCTTGAATTTATTGCTTTCTATATAAGAATTTTGAGTACAGGGTGTTTCAGAAAACTAGCAATCATTTTGATTGATTAGATTTTACTGGTGTTTTGACCAATACCATGTACCAGCATATCTAATTAAAAGCTACAGCTTCAAGATTTATTCTTATTAAAATAAAGTTAATACGGCAAATAGATAATGAATTACAAAAGAAAAAAAAGAAACTTGTAAAATTTCACTTAGTTAAAATATGTGCTCTAGTTGGCGTCTCTTTTGCTGAAAGAATAAAATCTATCCGATGCAAGAAAGTTCTCATTATCATTGCAAATAGTCTCTTGGAAATGAATTAGGTTTCATTTTTCAAACTATTTTTGAGTTGTTTTTGGGGGAGGAGGGGGGAGGGGGTAAACACTTTGACTATTAAATATCCCCACATATAAAGGTCAATGGGTGTTAAGTCAGGTGAGTGTGGAGCCCAATTTAATGGATTTGAAAGAGAATTGAATGGTCCTGCTAACATTTGTTCTACCAAGCTCAGAGTTTAAGATTCAAAACGCATTTCAGCATCTGTTCTACACTTTACTCATTCAATTTGTTCACAAACTCAGTTATTTTACAAAAGGATTTCATGTGAGTCTGTGGAACAATGCCACTTATGTTCTAATTTTTTAATTCCTTTCCCCCCTTTTTCTTCGAACAAGTTTTAACCATTCCATTAGCTAAAAATTTAACAGATTTATACAACTTCCACTTTATATTGCTGTTAGTAAGTTCTTTGCATTGAACTGTAAATCTTATTTTCGTGCATTACCGTATTCAAAGGAACTGTTGACATGCTCTGATTTTAAAAGCAGTATCGAAATTCCTGATGATTGAATTTTATTGAATTAAATATGTTGAACTCGCTTTTTTCAGTGACGTCAAATATGACGTCATAGTTAATTAAAATGGTAATTATTTTCTAATTTTTTGATATTGACAAAAACATTAGCCCTTTTAGTATAATTTTATGTAACTTTTTCACATGTTCCTGTGTGCATATCAATATGGTGAGGAAAGTAAATGGTTGCATGTTTTCTGAAACACACTGTACTAGTATAACATTTGTTAAAGTAATTGTGATATATGTACTTATGCGGATGTCAAAATACGCTTCTTCTTTCGTTCTTTAATTTTTTAATTATATATTTAATCAACGTTTCTAATAAAGAATTGCACATTATAATACCAGGTTGGCCTTCCTGTCTTTAATATGCAATAGTTATGTCACATTCTAAAATTAAGCTTTAAAAAGGGATTTTTCTCTCTATTGCAGTATATGTTACTTGGGTGTTAATAACTGAGCTAGCATAATTTTTATCTTATGAGTTAATATACAATTATGGTCTCATTTTGTGTTGATATGGTTTGTTATTCACCAGAAAAATATCAATATTCACCGAGGCGAAGTTATTCAACTCATGTCTTAAATATTTTTCTGGTGAATATCAAAAGATATTCAACACCAAAAAGGTTTATTACTGTTTTTTTTATAATCCTAATGTGAATAAATACAGACATTGAAGGCTGCATGACGACACCGTTGACATTTGCGAACTTCCGTCGCTGAGGTCGCCCGCGTGGCGCAGTGGTTAGAACGTCTGTTCTAGAGTTGCGAAGTAAGCAGTCAATCCTTACGTGGCGGGTTCGAATCCCACTGTGGAACATGGAGACCGGTCCTTCGGATGAGACCTACCGGTATAAACCGAGGTCCCGTGTCGGAGTAGGTGCTAGCACGAAAAATATCCCCCTGCTTAATGGCCCTTAATGCCTAGCAGAGGACATATAAACTTTGCAGCTCTCCATCGGCAAGTGGTGGCGTCTCCGTCTAAGTGAAAAATTCTTGAGAGGGACGTTAAACAAGAAACAATCAATCAATCCGTCGCTAAAAATAAATAATTTTTTTTTTTCAGTTAACAGTTTGTAATCTACAAGGTTACTTTTCCGAATTTTGAATGTGAAAAACGTCCAAATATTTACAACTAATACAACGAAATGTTTGTCTAACATTATTCTGCTTAGATATCATAACTGGCTGCGGCCGTTACAGCCATTCTTTAAAACAACGTTGTTTGTGGTTTTAAATGTCATGTCACAATGCCGTTGCATGCGCACTGATCCTCCGGTAAATTTGGCCTTTTATTTAAATCCAGTGAATATGTAGTGTTATGAACTATGTGCATTTGTATGGATTACGAAGGGACTATAAATAAACTATTTTTTAAAGCAAAAATGGATTAACATAAAATGTCCTTTTTCTTACAATATGCACAAGAACACGTTGCATACAAGATGACTTGGAAAGCACAGAGGAACATTTTCTTCATTCTGCAAAAATTATAACAATGGTAATAAATATTATTTGCGTAGAATTAATTCTAAATAAACATAACAAATAAAGGGAAATTAAAATTTAATTTCTTCCTTAGAGATTATTATCAGATGCACCACTGTCTTAGTGTTGCAGCTGAGATTAAAAGGCTAAAGTTCGATTCTAGTTTGCTACACTACATCAAACCTTAGATTTTTTTGTCAAATACACTGCTGTTTCAGATAAAGTCGAGAGTCCTTTGGTTTAGACTAAGACTGTTTTTGTCAAGCAATATTTAGTTTGAAATAAAGTCGGCAGTATTTTGGGTTAGAAATTAACTCATTGTGAAAAAAAAATCAGATGTTAAAATTAATAAACTGTATTATTTTTTTATATCTGAAAATTACAACATTAAATTTTATCATTTATTCAAACAAATGCATTTTAATCTTACCTTAGAATGCATACATCTCGTCGGCAGAGGTCACCAATATAAACATGTAAGATTTTACAAGTTTTAAAGCAGGAAGTTATGTGACGTTAGGTATAGTTTTACATCTTATCGTCTTTATACAAATGTGTCTTCAAGGCTGAGCGCTTGACTGCTTATTATTTAAAGCTAACCGATCAACTGCATTTAGTTACACAAAATTAATACTGAAATTTTCAACTCCTGTAAGATATTGATTTCGTTAGTACCGGTAATGAATAAAAGGGAATAAATAACATCAAATGGATTATTATTCATATTTATATCACAATTAACTAATTGCAAATCTTTTTTTCTGGAAGACCTTTTGAAGAAAAATAGTTTTAGTAAACATAGTTGAAAATGAAGGAGTTTTACGTTATTTATTTGCGGAAATAGCTAGGATGCCAGAAAACACATGAATGGTTCATACATTTTACGCACCACATGCACGTGTTAATAACAGTGAATTGTTATTAGGTTTATCTGTCATATATTGAAATAACAATTTAAAAGTTCAAGTGCTTAGAACAATATAAAATTACAATATTTTGAGTATGTCTTTTATTTTAAACATCGTCAACCTAAAACAAATGCAAGATTCGATAAAGTGCAGAGAGAAAATATGTGCATCAGGCCACACCGCCATAAACCTTTAAGAATTCTCAAAAAAATTTTCAACTCAAGCCTTGAAAATTACTCTGTTAAAAATATTCTTAAATTCGCTGCCATAAAACGATTTGAGAATATTCTTAGCTGAATATAATTCTCAAGACTTGGGTTGAGAATTTTTTCAAAATTATTTTCTCGCGAGAACGTTTTCAAGGATTTTTTTCGCGGATTTAAGTGGCCCAGTGGAACTCTTTTTTGTCTAGAGGTAAGAAA